ACATGGTTATATTATATTTGCAACTATTGTGGGGAAGACAGTTTCTAATACTATAAACAAGCATCTGGTTGCCAATACTACTTTAGCACATACCAGTATAGATGCTTTCTTGCGCAAATACTTTTCTGTTAAAAGTATTTGTGCAAAATCATGTCAGTGTAGACGCAGCCTGAGTGAAATCCTTCATCAGTCACAGTGCTGCAGGGATCCTAAATTCAGGGACAGGCAAGCTGCGGCCCATAGGCTGGATCCAGCCTGTCAAGCCACCAGATTCTGCCCACAGGTGCCTTATTGGTACACTTAGGCACAGGGCCGCTAAAACTGCTTTAAATGGCTGGCTGCTCTGTACTTTGGACACTGCACGGGGCTTCATCTACTATCCCTTCCCCTTCCCCCCAGCAAAATCTCCCAGGTCCCATTGGCCAGTTTCCAATAAAATTACTCTCCAGTGTCAGTTTACTATATTTACAATACACATTTACAGTACATTTATTACCTGTAAGACCGATATTAGTGCTTTCATAGAATCTGTAAGGTTGTCCTTTATTAAACCAAAAGTGTGTGTATGAGATATTCAAACCTTAGCTTTTACTACCTTCCGATTAGATTAAAACATTCCTGTCTCTTTCCTTCTCTTCCCCATGGCTTCTTGTCCCTCCAAAAATCTTCCCAATGTGAGTCCTTATAAAATCTTGGCTTTGTCACATCTGTCTCTTTGGCATGTGTGAAAAAGTATTGTTTATTCTTCACCTTCTTCTGTCATCACTTCTGACTTCTTCACTGAGGCACCTTTCTTAGCATATGCCTTGTTTTTTGCGGAGCATGGTTGTCAAGTTTAATGACTTTCCTTGTCTGTAGTCTTCTAGGTATGTGACCACCCCTGCTCTAGCAATAATTTTCTTGGGGAGGGCACTCCAATAATTTTGGATAGTGATCATGAGCCATCCTTTTTTATTATATTAATGGAGGGTATGTGGGGTCTGGGATGGAGTTTGGATGCAGGTGGCATTTCAAAGAGGATCAACTATGTTGTGCTGCCCTTTGAAGTACTCCCTCCCTCCCCCCCTTTGCTGCCCCTATCTGATAGAGGCAGCAACCGGGGTGGGGAGGGGAGTAGAGTCAATTAGTTGACTGACTATCCAATAAGCAGTCCTTATCTGGGACTGTTCAGTGCTGGTTCGTGCTGCCCTCAGAAGTTAAACCCGCTGCAGCTCTATAGTTTAAATGTAGTAGGAGCTCCCCCCCCCATCACAGTTGAAAATTCCATTGACTACTCCATTAGCTAATTAACCACTACGTAACATCTCCAGCTCACTTTCTGCCATGGAACAGCAATACAATTTGAGACAGAATTAAAAATAATATATTACCTCAGATTCTTACATTGTTCTTATTAATTCTCCATTTTCTACTTTCATTTCCCATATTCATATTATTTTTAATCTCCATATTACTTTTTTGTTGTCATTTTCAGCTCTTCCTCTACAGTTGCTTTCCCTAGTCTTTTTCCATCACTCTTTTCATGTCCCCATACTGCATGTTAATCTGCCTGTGCTTTGGGGCAGATAATGTGTCAGAGTATGAGTTCTTCTAGCCAGCAGTACTGATTGCTTAGAAGTGTGTTCCAAAGCAAAAGGTCTGTTGAAGTCTTGATTTGTGGGACTTCATTACCTTCTCAATGAAGCATCTGCCTTTTAAATCTCTGGGTCAAAAGTATTGTGACAGTGCATACACCTAGAAATCGAAGGGAGGTAACCTAGGAAGAGATTATAATGCTGAGTCTCATTGAAGAGATGTGCCAGAGTACCATGGTTCATACCAGCTTTGTTTGAATTCTGCTTTATAAACTGATTTTTTTTTTTTTTTTTTACCCACTGAGCTCCAGAGTAAAATCCACGTTCTATTTTTAAATGAACCTCTGTGTCGGGGGCTCCCATCTTGTTTGGGGCTGCTGCCTCCGTCCAGGACATCATTCTGACCTATCGGGCCTAGTCCCCTTGTGTAACGCCCCTCTATTAGGGGAAATATGGACCACTAGCCTAGTCTCAAGTATACTGCCCCTGTCTTAGGGGGAATCTGGCCTTGTCCTTAGTCCGCAGGCTCAGAAGCCTAGTCCCAAAGTATCCTGCCCCAGTATTGGGGAAAATACTTCTGTAACTGTGATAATGATGTTTTATTGCTGTACACATACTTTTAATTCAGAACTGAATTGTTGAGACAGGATTTTTTGGATGTGTTAGATTCTTAGGCTGCGTCTTGCTGCACCAGAGGTTGATTTTCTGGCATTTGATTTAGCGGATCTAGTTAAAACCAGAGTTCCCTGTAAGCTGCTGAGGCAGCACAGCTTCACAAGCTCACAGAGAATGTTGGTTGAGACCCGCTAAATTGTACTCTGTAAAGGGCAGCTCTGGTTGGCACCAGTACATACTCCTTTGTGTCCTCCCTCTGTGAAGTCAGTGCCAAGCTTGGCTTACGGTAAACTGACTCCAGACGTACCTTAACCTAACCTCCCAGGTCTATTGCAGACCTGGCCTTAGTATCTGTAGTAGTAAAGGTTCCTATGTATACACATTGATACTGGGATCTTGTTTAGTACTAATCTCTGCACCATTATTGCTATGAAAGGGTGAAGAACTTGTACTCTTTCAGTTACTGTTTAAATACTTACTTTTCATTGCCCATCTATTTTCTATCTTATCAACTCAATTGCAGATGTTACAGTGCTGAGAAAAAAGATAGCATTTTGGGTAGCATTTCACTTATAATGAAAATTTTGGTGCATGTAAATGTACCAGATGACTGAGCAGAAAGGGATCTAGAGAGAGAGGATGGCAGACTGAAGGATGCTGAACAGAATGGGAGGCAAGAAAGAGAATCTACTCACTTCAGGTTTCCTTCTTTTTGTAAAAGAAGTGGGGAAGTGAGTGAATGCGTGCTGTAATCTTTGGATGGGATTAATTAATACATGTTACCCAGTGCAGGGATCATGAATGGTAATGAAAAAATCCTAAGCAATCAATTGGCCAGTTTCCTGTGGCATCCCAATATAAGTCAACTTTCAGTCCCTGTAAGGAAATTGTAACTTAGTTTTATTTATTTAAACTTAATTACCATTTCAGGGTTGCAGTTGGAGTTAATGGCTGGCTAGCACAGTATATTGATTATATCATTATATGAAAACATAGCAAAGTATGTGTAAACTAAGGGACAAATATTTTACTTATTTTGTGGTAACTTGTATTAAAGTATAAATACATTAATTAACAAGCCCTTCGATTCAAACATAGTACAATCCTTGCATAGCTCTGCAGCAACAGTGTTCCAGTGCTTGGAAGAACTAGAATACCAGTCACATCTCAAAGGATTCATCTGACCCTTGGATAACACAGTTTTTGTTTACTGGGGTTCAGATAATCAAGGTTTGACTATGCCCTGTGGCCTAGTACTCATTCATATGGACTGCTAAAGGATGAAAATGAACATGGCATTAGCTTTCTGAAATAAGCAAAAGATCTCCATTTATTTTTGATTCAAGTAAAATATTCTATCTGCATTTTTCAGTAAGGTTCATTTTATTAAGCCAGTATCTTCATATTCATAAAAGAAAATATATAAAGTCTGCATTCTTTTAGATTTTTAAATAAGAATAGGTGGGCTGCATATTGTGGACTTAGTATTTGAGCAAGGGCATCTTAATTATCTTATCAATATCTTGCTTTTGGGTACTCATTGTCATATCAGATTTACATGCCTAATTTGAGTATCTGGATTTGGAAAATAGGCACCTGCTTTAAGAAATTATGTCTCCTTGTTTATAATATCCATTGGTGTTTTTTTTGATCTGACAAAAACATGTAAAATAAAACTCTGATTAATTTTAAAAAATCTGATTTTGGAAGTCATAGCTCAAATGCAATACATACAAAATATTCTTGAGAAAACATGTCATAATTAGAACTCATTTGTTCAATTAAAAGATTTTAACATTCATACATTTTTGGAAGATTTATTTTTTAATATTTAATATCATATTGGTTATCAAGAAACCTTATTTTACAAATCTAATTCTTAAATGCAAATTTAAGGTGGGAACTTTAGGAGGTAGATTGTTGTTTTTTAAGTTTTTCCCGTTAAAGATTAATAGTCTAGCAGCACCTTAAAGACTAACAAAACATGTAGATAGTTTCATGATTTTTTGTGGGCACAACACACTTCAAGTCACAAGTGGGTTGTGCCCAGGAAATTTCATGATACCATCCATATGTTTTGTTAGTTTTTAAGGTGCTGCTAGACCATTCGTTGTTTTTAAATTTGGGAAGTAATTAATGAACAGGGTAGTGCTGAGTAAACAGTTGTATTTCCTTGATCCTTTTTCATGCTGATTTTTTTTTTTTAGGGGTTGGGGGGAGAGCTGAGTTTATTTTAGCGACTGCACTGGACTTGTTGGCTGTTAGATTTTCTCCTAGGTATGTCTAGACCAGTGTTTTATTAAACTTTTTAAGACTGAGGAACACCAAACAATTTTTTTTTTTATGGGGAATACCAACACAGTTTGCCCTTTTATCAGGAGATCAGGCATTGCCTTTTTAGGGGCGGCCATTTTTAATTCTGTTCTCCGCAGCACACCTTCAACTGCTTCACGGCACACTGGTGTGCTGCAGAACACTCTTTAAGAAATGCTGGTCTAGTCTACATTTAATTTTCAAAATTAAATTGAAAGAACGCAGGGTTTTTTTTGACATTGGTAAACCTCAAATTATGAGGAAGAATGCCTTTTTAGAAAAAAGAGCTCTTTTGAAAAAGGCATGTTTGGATGCAGAACAGGGACATTTTTCAACAGATGAGGCAATCGAAAAAAGCACAGGTACCCTGGTGGTCATTCTGTGAATAGCAATCAGGGATTTCTTTCGAGAGAGCATCCATGCAGTCTGGACGCTGTCTTTCGAAAGAAGCTTTTTCGAAAGAGTTCTTTCAAAAAGATTCTTTCAAAAGAAGCTTGCAGTCTAGATGTACCCCTAGAGTGTACAAAGGTCAGGCTGATTCTTTTTAGGTTGATCAGAGGTATGATAACATTTTCCACAATATCTTCTCTTACCTGCAGACCTTGACTCCATTAGATGAGATCACTCTTTAGTTCATTCTTTTGCCTTAGTAATATTCCAGTAGTTGTTATTGAGCAGTTTGTTCTTCTGTCTCAAAGTCTAATGTAGGATTCCAATCGATGTGTTTGTCACTGTCTCCCCACTGAGATGTTTCTTCCACTTTGTATCTAAAAGATTTGTAATTTGTAAGTGCTTTTGGCTTCCTGGTTCTCTGAGGGCTCATCTAGACTGCATTCCTCTCTGAAAAGAGGAATGCAGATGAAGCAGATAGAAAATTCAAATAAAGCATGGATTTGCAAACTTCACACTTAATTTGCATGATTGTGTGAGAGTCCATTTTCGAAAAAGGGTTTTTTGGGGAAAAAATAAAATCCCCCCCCCCTTTTTTTTCCAAAGAACCCATACTCTTGAAAAAAATGAGATGTATGGGTTTTTAAAAAAATTCCCCCCCCCCCCCCGAAAGAACCCCGTCTAGACTGCTGGGTTTTTTCCCCCCCAAAAAAACCCTTTTTTGAAAAAACACACTCATGCAATTATGCAAATGAAGCGTGAGATTTGAAAATCCACTCTTCATTTGTATTTTCAATCTGCTTCATATGCATTCCTCTTTTGAGAGAGGAATGCAGTCTAGACATAGCCTGATAGTAAACAAGGTGGTTGTTGGTTTTTTTTCTTCAAGTACAGCTAATTTCAGTGGTCATCCATATCTTTTGTGACCAGTTTGAATGGGACTACACTTGGTGACAACTAAAGGACTAGTTCTAAGTTTGGCTTCCTGCCTTCTTTGGAGTTTTTGCTTTTTGGAATTTGTAGCAAGTTCTCTGGAGATGGATTGACTTGACCTTTTAGTTCAGGCATAAGTTGTTTTGCTTTATGCCTATACCTGTCACTTATTCCTAAATTTATATTGCTGGAGATTTTAGGCAGTATATTATCTGTGTGGATTTTTCTGCTCTGGAATATGATTTTATTCATAGCTGGTAATAGAGAATTCTGTTTTGTCATCGGGAACACTGTAAGGTTAATCTGTTCCCCTTGTTTTTTACTAATGTAGTACATGAGTAGTGGTGGTGGTGAGAGAGACAGTGTTATCCGGCCCTCTGTTAACTGGCATTGCCCCCCAGCCACAATACTGCCACATCTTCAGGTGCACTCTAGGGATGTGAAGCACTAGTCAACTATCCGATAAGCAACTGGTTATTGGATAGTCCACAGGATAGTTGACTAGTCTTCCCCCCCCCCCCCCCCCCCCCCCCCCCACCCCGACTTGCTGCCTCTATCAGAGCCGCATGGAGCTCGGGGTCAGCTGCTCCAAAGATGCTTGGAGCCTGGAGCCAGACTCAGGGCTTCCACGCTGCTTTGAAATACTGTGTGCAGCTCGGGGCCAACTGGGGTGACCCCAGGGTACATGGAGTGTTTCAAAGCAGCAGCGCTGTGTGGAGCCCGGGATCAGCTGGGGATTCCCTTGCTTACCCCAGGCTCTGTGAGACGCTGCTGCTTTGAAATGCTGTGGGGAGCCAGGCATCAGGCTCTTTGTGGCATTTCAAAGTGGACTCCCCTGCTGACCTCTGGGCTCTGTACGGCACTGCCGCTTTGAAATGCCATGGAGAGCCTGGGTTTCACCTAGGGCTGTTGCTACACTTCAAAGGTGGAAGCGCCCTATTGACTAATCGAATAGTTGATGCAAAATGCATCGACTATTCAATTAGTCAGTAAGTCGATATTTAACGTCCCTAGTTCATGCACTTGACTCCCGCCTGTCCAGCTGGCTGTTGCAGGGCTTCTGACAGCCGGCACCGCCAGCTGACATCATCATCAGGTACTTCCTTCCTTTAGTCAGCCTTGAGCTGCTCGTAAGGGGCAGAGCAATAAGCTTTGTTATCCAGCACATTCAATTAACCAGCAAACCCCAGTCCCCGTATGTGCCAGATAACAAAGTTTTCATTGTATTCTTAGCTTTCTATGTGATGCATTTCTTTTCTAATGCTGTCTGCATTTAAAACTTCTAGTATTCCAGGCTTGTTGTTTTTTAAAGTGTTTTATTATGAAAAGAGAAGTAAAAGTATTGTGTAATGCAAAGGCATATCCTAAATTCAGCCTAAATTGGGTGTTGTCAAAATTTAAACACATATATTTTCAAGTGACAGATTTTGATTATTTTTGCAACTACAAAGTCAATAACCTTCTGCTTACTCAAATATTTTTTCTTTCCAAAAAGTAGGTCTGTTAGATCAAGAAATGGAACTGTATCCTTATAAAGTTGTTCCTTATTCAGCTTTCTTCATTGAAGGGATCACTTCAAATAAGCCCAGATGTGTTAGTGCTGTAGGGCACAGAGAGGTGAAGTTGTTGGAAGAATTTGAGTGAAACGTACGCTAGTAGAAGGACTTACAAGAGAACCACTGCTTCATCTTTCAGTCTGGTAGCAGCAGTAGGAAAGTAGAAGTTTGGTTCATAATGTGGCACAACTTACACTTCCTTTGTAATACAAATACAGGCAAGATTTTCTTTCCTCTTGACATTGGTTATGTTCTGTCATGTTAGTTGCTTTTTTCATTCCCAGAGATGAAGTAATATTTAGATTTGTGTCCTGAAGCCTCATCCAGTTCTAACTGTGATTTGTGCTCTTTTTTAAATTGTAGTACAGAGGGTTGCAAAGTAGTTGACAGCTTTTCCTAAACTTAATATGTAGTTCTGCACTGTAACTTTGACAGAACACTGAGGAGGAGATTTAATGAGAAATCTGAAAGAACACCTGTCAAATGCCCTTTCAGGCAGTGGTGGTCTCTCTATTACAGGGCTACTCAACTTTGGAAGCCTCGGGGGCCACAATGAAACTCATAGCACATGCCGAGGGCCACAACTTAAGTGTGGTTACATATATTTGCAAATATATATATGCAAATAGCTTCTTTCACGCTGATGGGCATGAATACAAAGATTAAGGCAAGACTATACAACACACAGGCCCCATTTAAGTCAGTTCTGTTGATATTAATAAAATGCAATATTTACCCCATTTACAGCCATATGACAGCACTTTTCATGAGCAATGACAGTCCAGGAATTTAACTACTAAAACACATATCAACACATATCATTATACTGACTACTTTTTTGTTTTGGCTCCCACCCGCAGGCCGCACACAAATGGGCTGGCTTCAGGCTGCATGCAGCCCATGGGCCGCGCATTGAGTAGGCCTGCTCTATTAGATACTTGTGCAGTGTGTAGCACAATAAAACTCTGATGCCTAATTGGGAATGTTAATATAATATAAGTAATAGTGGCAACATGTACAGCCTTAAACAAAAATAATCCATCTTCTGAAAAACCACATTGAAAAGTAGTTTGTTTAAAATTACTTCATATTAGAAGAGGGGAAATGCAGATAAGCAGTAGGTCTGTATTACATTATCTTTCTCTTGCTTGCTTTAATTTCTTTCCAATTTCACTGGTCCTGTATACTATATTTAGATCAATACGCTATTTACTGTTTTTTGTTTTTCTAAAAAACACTGACCAGTTCTACTTACAACATGCTACTTGAGATTTGATGTAGCATTTATTGATTATTTCTCTGTACTGAGGGATGTAAGCAATTTTTTTGGTGTTCTGAGGCTTCTTAAACAAAGTGCTGAAGTCCAAGAGGTTTGACCTAATTTATTTTTAAATTATTTTTATTGATAAGGGATCTACAGGAAATAAAGTACAGGGTCCAGAACATGAAACCAATGTATATATTTTAAGTTACAGTATAATTTATGTGGTAGAAATCAGCACAGGAAAAAACAGTGGCGGCAAATAGCAATTATACATTAAATAGTTAATTCTTCTGTCCTCTATACAAAGCACGCCATTTTTGAAAAGTTGGCTTGTGTGAGAAAGTGGGCAAATTTGTAATAGTTTGTGTTTCTGAACAGAAATATGTCTTGAGGCCAAATAATTTATTTCAAGTGTATAAACAGTTGTCAATGTATATTAGGCTATGCCCATCACCAAGATAGGTATGGCGTATTTCCTGAGGCTTAATACTGAATTTGTTTCTGCTTTTGGTTTAAAGGAAGAGTTTTAACACTTTTCCTTTTAAAAAAATGTAATATTACAATGTATTATATGAAAGGGCACTCAATTTGACACAGTTTTGCACGTATCTATCTTTTTCATAAATTTTTCTGGTGTGAAAATACTTCTGTTGAGAAATGAATATATGAACTCTGCAAAGAACTACGGTAGATTAAGACTGTTCCACTGAAGAGGAAAATGCAAGTAGAAGCTGGGTGGAAACTGCAGTGAATTGTCAGATAAATTCACTGTGTTAGAAACTGATATTTTGCTTTGAAAAGATAAAGCTGAAAACTGTGGCATAAGAGGAGCAAAAAGGAGCCTTACTGAAGAGAGGAAAGTTAATTATGTGAGCAATCATTTTTTTCTGATGTTGTTAGTAAGATTTCAGTTAATGTTTTCTGATAAGAATATTTTGTAAAAGTTCTATAACTAGCAATAAAAACAAAATAACAGAGTTGGAGAACAAAAAATGGCTTTTTAATGGCACTGTCAGTCTCTAAAGAGTACTAACTGTTATATCAAATATTGCATGTATGTTGTTGCACATAGGGGATGTAAAATGCCATTTATACGGTTAATTGAAGCTTACTTCATTTTTAACCAGTTAACCAATTAGGGGTAGATGCACCAGCCTACCCTCCATAGCCAGGCTGAAGCAGCCCCTAGCCCCTGCCTGAGGCCCCTAGGCTCACTGTGGGCTGTTTCTGCCTGTGACATGCCCAGGCCCTCTGTGGAGAGTGGCTGCTCTGGATCATCATTGTCTCTGTTTGTTGATCCTCTTAAAATTTCCAATAGACAGGTGAGGCATGATTTCCCTTTGCAAAAGCTGTATTGATGCTTCCCCAAG